TTATACTTTGGTTAGTGTTTTAAAAAAGGTTTATAAATCAGCGACTCATGTTGAACTCTATTAGCCGTTACAATTGAAATAAGTTTTCTAAAGTGTACGCTGCTTACACTCTGTCTAAGTAAAATAAAACATTGTTCAACGGTATGAGGAAGAGGTTACCTAGTTGCAAGAACTGTTCGAAATTGAGCTTTATCATTTCTGTTCTGCATAGGCAACAGGTATAATTCACAGCAACGACGCTTTATGAATTAACCTTTCATCAAAATATAATAAGTAAAAAAATTTTTAAAACTACAGGTATCCATTCTTCAAATAAAAAATTTTGCGGAGGCGTAATTTGATAAACGAAGGCACAGAATTGCAGCAATCTCACAAGAATCAAAGTTGTACCTGTGGCGAGAGTAGATGCGACGCGGCTTGACGATTACTGATTTATCTCGTAAATAACGCGTTCAAAAAAAACTGACCTTTTCACTCGGATGCCCTCGGATTCACTGAGGTGCATCACCCATATTACTTCTAACACCAGTCCCGTATTGCAATATCCTGGTTTTTGATACTGTGGTGATGCTTATAAGGAACCCTCATTTTTTCATCTTCTACATGACCTTGCACTCGTTCTTAGTATTATATGGTACAGTCTAGGTAGGACCAGGTGGTACACGGCATTGGCAGATTGGTTTTTTGTGTAAAGATAAAGTTGACCGAGGTCCTTGGCTATGCGTGGCCCCATGATTCTGTCTTACGAAAGCGATTTTACTAAGGATTTTTTATTGTTGGGTCATATCACAGTAAGGAAGAACTGTATCAAAAAGTAGAGAATATAAGAGCAGAACATAGTAGGGAATAATCATTTAAATACCCAAAAACGCTTGCGATAGTACAACAATAGGAAACAATAACTGCATAAAAGTACGTGCAAGTAGGCTACACACCAATGTCGACGCTGTTTTGAAATTTAGAGATTCAAATAAGACCATAAATATGCGCTTTACTCCCATCTTTTAAAATTCACAATAGTTTCTAATTCATTTTGACAGTCATTTAAGTACGATAAGCAAGAAGCAACTGCATTTTACTTTAAAAATAAATTTAATTAGAAATTAAACTAAAACGGCAGCTTAAATTAAACTAATAAAACTGAAGTAAACGCAGGAAGCTAAAGATTTCTGTGATCCGGTTGCAGTAGTAAGCATGACTACGCTTACTAAAATGTGTATAGTAGTTCTTTAGGTATGATTGTCTAACACCCACGGACACCTTATCAATAACAGTTTTTTTTTGTTTCAGACAATGTACCCACCTTTAGGATTGCCATTGGAGCAGGGTGAGGGCTACTCGGACGCCAACTCATTCCTCTATGGTTATACCAATATTATGTTACTTAAAGACTATATGGTTAACACTCTGGATAAAGTACGCATCTAAGAACTGCTCACCCTCAGTTAGTGAATCCTGCTCATCGAGGAGTCCGGCTGTCAAAGTCGGCACGTAACCCATCGTCTTCTCCACATTCTTGTTCGAATTTGGCGCATAGCGACAGTCCGAGTTGGTGTGCATCAAACTGAGCATATGGCGCATATAGTAGCTGGTAACATTGAGGGGCGGGTTGTAGCCAGCCGGCCGCGCCTCTTTTTGAGGCGGTGCAAGGGACGCTGCTACATCTGCCTTTGCATCACTGGCTCGCCTTCCCAGTTTTTGCACATTAGAGTTCACACTGAGTGGCCGCAGGGCCTGCAAAAATGGACATAAAATCAGAACTGCTGATCTTAATGATGTCTAGACGCCTGTGGTCAAACGCATATTCATAATCATACAAGTTTAAGTCAAGGCGCACTCCTGTTTTTTGGGAGGGAGAGGGGGAAGAGGCAAGAATCAATTAAACATTTTTAATTATAGGGTGTCTTGGCAAATGTATGTGCTCATTCGTTAAGCTATTGATAAGCATACTGTCCTATTTCTGAAAAACTGACGGCTTCACGACAGCGAGTGCAACGCTAAAGTAGATCCAGTGCTCAAACCACGTGAGCGGTCGAATAACATCGGGGCCACTGAGTTTTAACAATTTATTTATTCAACTATGCCAAAATACCCTACCAAAATCGGCTGGTCGACACCTGAAGGATTCTGGATTGTCTAGAACATCCCCTTTAGTTGTTAACTTACGATATCACGATGAAAACGCGGGACTCAGACTATTGTACCATTACATATGATTAAGGATTCCCGACGGAATCCGAAAAGTCAGGACAATAAAACACCAGGTCCAGTGGTCGCATATTCTTCTTCTATATATCAGAATTGGTGGATTCCATACGACGCAGTAAGGTAGGTGGATAAGTTGACCCAAGTGAGTACATTTACGTATGACCACGCTAAGTCCAGATGCCCAGACTCTGGTGGAAACCAAATAAACGTTGAAATAACGAGCAGCACCTCGTAGAGGCAAAATTTTTGTGTATTCCAGACGTCTTTAAATGTTCATAAGTTATGAAAAATTTTACCCAAACGGCGATTGGGCCGGCGTACACTGTAGCATTTATTTAGGTCTTCGCACAGCCTAGCTTCAAGTCTTGCGGTACTCCAAGCAATCAGTCATCTGAAACCTTGGTTGTCCTAGTCTGAAGTGGCGTTATGCTTCACTTTGATAGAAGATAGGTCAGGCATGACCATTCCAATTTCTTTTGTTAATAATTGCCTACTGCTATAAACTTGTTTCTGATAAACAACCGTCCGTGGTATTTTATTCCGACGCTTCTAGACAATAAAACATCATTTTGAATTTCGCTCTATAGAAGCAGAAAACATCGGCGAACGCCAAATTACTGTGCATCATCCAAGTACTTCTTCCGCAAGTAAATGCATTGCAGAAGGACATCTGAGGGTGAAGTATGAATGCACAATAACAGCCAACTCCAGCCCAAAAGATATAAGGTAATCTCCATAGCTTCCAATTTAAAGGAGCCAAACGCGGTAAGAGTTTAAAGCTCGCACTTTGTGCACTTCTCTATAAAATCAGAAAGAAGCGAATACGCGAGCTCCAGGAAGAAGTTCTGAAGTATAAGATGCGATCGCTGGCACAGGGAGTTTATTTGCCTGGCGTTTTGGATCCTGCCAAGAAGCCTTAATCATAGGTACTCGTGCAGGCTATCCTAGCGGAAAAGGTGTAAAAACGGTATATGAGGATAACAATGAAGGTTAGGAAATGATCCAACTC